TTTTTATAATATTAATTTACTTAATTCATAGATATAATTGTTGGTGTTGACATTATTATGGCAACCATATTAATTTATAAAGTTATATAACTTCTTGCTACTTTTCGAAAAAAAAATTTATTTGGTAAAAGAAAATATGCGTTATTATTAAGTATGCGGGGGAAATACGCATTGATTTTTTTAAATTTAGTATCATCCCGGCTATTCTAAATGAATCTCTTAGGCGAAATAAAGCATCGTAGAATATCACAGGGAACATTGTTCTTTAGACTCCTTGATCTTGAAATTTTAACATATTATTATACCCAATGACTTTAAAATAATGTTCTGCAGTAATGTCACAATGTATTATACTAATCAATTATATTTAAATGAAAAATAATCAAATAATCTAAACTATACTTTAAAATCATAAATTTATAGTTATAAGTTTTAAGCACATGCTTAAAAGTATATAATTCAGAGGAGTTTGGTAATCTAGACATTTTATATCATTTACTCCTGTTTAATTTTTTTGGTAGTTAAAAATAAAATAATATTACAAAATTTTATATACATACTAAACTGTCTCGCCCAGTTTAGCATGTATGATCATTATTGTTTTTCGCATCTTAAGTATAAACAGTACTAATTTTCTAAATATTGAGGTAAGCAACATTAGCCCGCGTTCCCTTATTACTAAAACTGTTATAATATTTGCTTAAAAATAAATGCTCACCAATTTTAAAGGACCACAATTTATATATTTCTAAAATAAAATTAAAAAACTGCACGATAGATTATTTTGATTACATTTTGCAAAATTATATTAATGTCTAAACGATAGCAATACTGAAGAAATATTTATGATAACGCAACATAGGTCGTAATGATACACAATATAACATACTTCTGAAGGGCTGAAACAATTTGTCTCCGTAATCCACTTAGCATTGTTATGCTAAAATATAATCAAAGGATGTTAATAATATTTCTTTTAGTATCAAAAGTGTTAATTCATAAAATTGAGGTTTTATTTAATAGTGATTAAACTTACAAATGCATTTTTATCAATTGGATATTCAATATGTATTTCATTCTATATAAAAAAAACCTCATTTGGAAATTTTATACAAAGATTTTTTATTTATAATCATTGTTAGAAACATTATTTATTAAAAAAATACTGATTCAAGGTGCCCGTGAATAATAAAATTGTATCATGACTTTTAGTTCTATGAAAGTGTTAAATTTAGTTGATAATTTAAACTAAAACTGTCACATGAAAAATAAATAAAAAGTATCTACACTAAATTATTAAATGAACTATCATTTAATGACTGTTCTAATTACCGTGTTAATGAGAAGTGTATTTCCCAAAACATTTCCAAAAAAAAAATCACACATAATAGTTAATACAAAATAATACATTTTGGAAAACATTTTTAAGAAATCTGAGATTTGTGTAGTATAATTGACCAATTTATAACTTAAAATATATATTTTATTTAAATATCATTAAATTATTGCATTTTTATAGGTATTAAAGCAAATAAAATATTAAAAATAAGCAAAAATTATTTTGAAATGTACCGTAATGACATATTTTGTATATTTTCAAGACAAAAATATATAAATTATACTAATATATTTGTGTATGAAGGGCGAAAAAGATGATATTTACTTATTAAACTTTTTATTTAAAAACTAATCTAATAAATTACAAAAAAATATACAATAAATTAATTCTAACATTTTGGTCTGAAATTATAACTTTTTATAATTGTAAAGTAGTTATTAATTTGATTTTTGTAATTATTTTTTAAACTATATTTCGTTTTGTTTAACGCGTATGATGTATTAAGTAATCATTATAATAATGGTATCCTTAAGTTAATATAATTATAATATTTTTATAGTATAAAATGAAAATTATTCGTAAAATGATTTTAAAAATAAATTGTTTTTTGGTTTTCAATAATCGCTTAAAAACATTTCTAAATACTTCATTGACAGTTAAGATTTATGTCAAAAATGTATATCTTTATATTTTAAATAAATATGAATTTATTAAATTAAAATATTAGAGCTTCAAATGTTCGTTTAATGTTTAAATTATTGTAATTATAACAAGAATATTTCCAAAAACATCTCCAAAAAAAAAAAAAAACCACACAATAATTAATACAAAAAAAATATATTTTCAAGAATATTGAGATTTGTGTATTATAATTGACTGATTTATAACTTAGAATGTATTTTATTAAATTTTCTTTGAATTTAAGCATTTTTATATGTATTAAAGTAAATAAAAATAACATATATTAAAAAAGGTGAAAATTATTGTAAACTGTACCATAATGGCATATTTTGTACATTATCAAGACAAGAATAGATAAAATATATAATTATGTTTTTGCATGAAGTGTTATAAGAAATGCTATTTAATTTTAAAACTAATTCAATGAATTACAAAAAATACACAAAAAATGAATTCTATCATTGCTATATGTAATTATAACTTTTTATTATTGTAATGTAGATATTAATTGGATTTTTATAATTAGTCTACAACTTAGCATAAAAATAAATTATATTTATTTTAAGAGGGACAAAAATAAAACTGTTATCCTTAAGGTAATTTAGTTTTTAATTTTTTTTAATACAAAATTATATTTACCGTTAAAAAGATTATAAAAATAAATTGTTTTTTTGTTGCAATACTAGCTTGAAACACATTTCTAAATTTCTGTTGACTGTTAATTCAGTCTTAATATTATACGTTTAATTTATATCTTTGTTTTTGAAATAAATATAAATGTATTTTATTAAAACTTAAAAGCTTAAAATTTTTGCTATCAATGTATTAAAGTTAAGAAATAAATCTAGAAATAGACCACAGAAATAGGTTCAGGATAATGTATAAGAAATTTCATCTCGCTAGCGTAGACACCAGTCCCGTTGCGCTGCGATACAGTGTCGGTGGTATCGGACTCTACGGGCCTACGAAACGTCGGCACGACCGCAGTTTCCCTAGCTCGGGGAATCGGGCACGCCCTCAGGTTGCGGATGGAGGAACGGTCTACAGATATGCAGGTTAGCTGCGAAACAAGCAGTACATTCATCTGGACTGACGAATAAGCGGTCGCGGACAGCGAGCTCCGCGTTCGGTCGTTAACCCTGCAGATATGGTTGAGGAGTGGACGGCCATCAGGGCTCGTTTTACCTATGTCCGGCTCCGATTTTGAGCGATTGAGCTGAACTGGAAAAGTGCCATGTCTGTACTTACGGGCGGACTGGTGCTTGCGGGAAAGCAAGCGCAGCGGCTTGTGAATACTATGCTAGTCGTCCCCCCGCACGAACACGTGACATCAGCTGCCAGAGAACTCATACGATGCGTTCGCTCCTTGTACGATTTGGAGCAAACCCGCACACCGGAGGAGGATCTCCTGACCGTCGATTCATCGAGCCCCAGGAAGTTGCGGGTAACGAAAGTAATTTTTTAATTTGAATTAGCTTAAATTGCTAATTTTATCATGCGACGAAAGCAACGAACAGTTGCCGAATTGGTAACATTTGTGTCTTTCACGCTTGGGTTACTAAGTTCATACCCGCCTGAGGCAATGAATTTTTTGCAATTTTTCCTTAGTTCTTTTTGAGTTAGAAAAAAATTTACGATTATTGTGAAAAAAGCGTATGTATTATACTTCAATATGAAGTATATTAATATAATATAAATTTCGATCTTTATTTTATTTTCATGGTCAAAACGGGCATCAAAGTTAATGTTCGCAGTTACTGGTACATTTATGTAAATTATTAGCACATTATATTCATTATTGTTATTTTTATTACTGTTATACCACACGGATGTTTTGATTATAAAATTTGTCATTTTGTACTGAATTGTTTATTGTTATTTGTATAAACTTATTTTTATGTGAGCCAACAATCACAGTCTTCTTTCTGTATAAATTTAAATACAAAGATCCTTTCTTATTAATCATCAGGTATTCGAGTTATTATTTCTCACCCTGGTATTAACAGTTAATAAAAAAATACGATTTTTGTAAAAACATTCTTTTTGATATTTTTAACTTTATAATTCTATAACTTTTTAAAATATGTATGGATCAATACAATTTTTTATGAGAAATACTATTTATATATATATTTCATTCGACATACTTTTTTTTTTTTAATTTTTCTTTATACAGAGGTGGTTTAAAACTTAAAATGCGTATAGAAAGTAGAACTTTTTCAACTTAATTTTTGAGTGTTCCAGAAATACTGACACTTTTATATATATATATATATCAATACGTTTTTCATTAAAGTAATAACTACTTTATAATTTCACTGTAAAAATTACTAAATTATTAAATATAAATTTCATACTATATTTAATTGCTATATAAATATATTTATTCATATATTACACTTATAAATCATAGAACTTGTAATCAGGATTTTAATAAGGAAATAGGAGATTATGTTGCTTTGTTTCATAGAAGATAAAACTTTTTAGTTTTTCTTCTAAGATTTTTCTTAAAAATAGTCGAACCAATGTAATTACAGCGCATTAAAAAATGTCTGATTACTACTAACCAATATTCAACGATATTTTTACAAGATCTGGGCGATTTTTCTAGTCATGATATCACACTACAACCATCATAAAAAAAATAATATACAAAAATAGTTAATCTTTGTTAAATTGACTAAAATTAAACAGTCTTTTGTAGGTACAGTTTAATTTAGTTGGGTATTAAATATTAATTAAAAATATAGTTTGAAATGTGATTTAGACTTTATGTGGGCAACGTTTTTGCATTCAATAATATTTATACTGTATCCTTTAAATTATTGATAATGTAAGATTATGAACACGTGTAGTTAATTGATCACAAGTCATCTGTGGAATACCATAAAGATAGTTACTCATTTTAGCTTCGATGCGAAGCTGAGAAGGTATTGGTTTTACTAAGATTTTTTTTTTTTTTTTGTGTCTGTTACCACTTTTTCTCAGCTCTCACCGAACGGATTTCTTTCAACGATACGTCAAAAGATCACAAATCGTATCTAGTCGAAGACATTACCCTTCAAAATTGAAAAAATTTCCTTCGTTACCCGTAAATGGGGGAAACCTCCAAAAAAATTACAAATTTAAAAATCGCTAATTTTCAAAATTTTTTCAATTTTTTTTACTAAAAACTGCCGTAACTTTTTCAAAACACCAATAAATGGAATAAAACACCAATTTTTTTAAAATTAAACACTATCTAAAGATTTGCATCGAAGCGTTTTTTTTTTTATAGTGATTTTAATTACTGTCAGATATCATTATACTTGATCCATCTATGCCACATACCACTGTGCCGCGACCCCACTGTGCTGGGTTTTTTTTTTATAATTTAATAACGTTTAATATTTTCACATTAAACGTCTTTAATCGTAAATACTTTGCTCGCAATATATATATTAAGTCATAGATAATGATAGTTTTCTTGATAATATGATAATTGTGGTTAAACTAAATAGATAATTTACATGTTAGGACAATTTTATTTTTCATAGAGTAGTTATTTGATTAACACTTAAGCAGGCGCGTACCTATTTTTAACGTTCATAGTCGCGTGGGGGTCTATTAGACCCCATTTCTAAAAAAGTACAAAATATGTATAAAAAAGTTCATTTTTTTTAATTCAAAGACATTATTTGTTACCATATGATATATAAATATGGAAAAAAATTTAAAAATAAATAAATTGCAAAATTATGTGCATTACTAAAAATTATATTACAAAAATAAAACTTAATTTTCAAAATTTCATTAAAAAATTTTGGTTTGTAAAAAAATTATTTTAACTGTAAAATCTTATTTTTAAGACGGTAAATATAAGCTTTTACTATTACAAAATGTATTTTTATTAATTTTTCTTGTATTTCTTTGAGCTCAAACACGGCTTATATTTATTAGTTTTATGTGTATTTACATTTATATATTCATTTTTCTGAATTGAATTTTTTTATTATTAATATTACAATACAATTTAATTATTATAATACCAGTATATAAAATTATTCTGAATCTGTTGAACATTGATTTCTCTCCCAACAATTTTTGCATACTGTTTTCATATGTTTTAGACACATAAACTTTTGATATGTTTGATATGAATTTATAGTTTTGATGTCCGTATTTCTTGGACAAACAGTACATCTTCCTCGTCTTCCTAAAACTGAAGAGCATTCAGGAGGTTGTTCTTCACCAGCAAATTTTAACGCCTTTTGCCTGAGAGACCTTGGAATATATTTTGAAACCGCTCGTTTTTTTAGTTGAACCTGTAATGACAATAATGACAATCCCACTTCTTCTAAAAATTTTCTTTGAATCTATATATTGTTTTGGGTATTTTTATTAAAAATAATTTGAGCATTTGTACCAGCTAAATCTATGAGTCGGAAAAATAACACCAAACGCCTTACTTTACGTGACACTGAATAAGTAGCACATAATTCATCTACTATGTGAACTCCAGTTTTTGTTTTATTATAAAAAAAATTTGGGCTTAGAATTATCTTCTGGCTATTCAGAAATAGAACCATAAAGATGCATAGTAGATAACATAATCACATTTTTGTTTTTTTTTTTTTTATATATACGAAGCAGTTGTTATTTGTTTTCCAAAACCAAACAAAGTTGAATTTTCGACTCTATTTTTAGTAGAAACAAATTGTATTGGTAATTCTATTTTTCTTAGAGTACTGACAAGTATTATTTTTTTTCCAACGAAATACTACTGAACCAATTATCAACCGTAATATTACGGCCTGTATCATAAATCGGCTGAAATAATCGAAGTACAACATCAATGGCTGAATTAGAAATTTTATAAGGCCCGTCTTTTTGTTTCTCTGTATACATTTCCATATTGAGAGTATACCAAGTTTGAGCGTCACAAATGGTTTGAATTTTCAAAACATATTTAGCTGGTTAACTTGGTATATAGATACGAAATGGACATCTGAATGCAACAAGTTGTTCATCGATTGTAGTATATTCGGATACAGCGTAATTATTTTCACAATTGGCCAAAAAATGTCTCTAAAAGCTGCGTAGTTATCAATTTCTTTACGAGATTGACAATCTCTGTAATCGTAAAAACTAATACAACGTAATAAAAAACGTCATTGTTGAATGAAAAATATTTATTCCTAAACCATTTGTTCTCCAAAGATCTTCTAAAATTTTAATGTCCAGACCTATTATATTTTAAAATATTATTAAAACGTCATTTATACACATGAAGAACATCTGTAAAAAATAAAATAATCGATGTGACTTTTTTACAGCGCCATGTTTTGTTCTATACATTAAACAAAACTAAGTTAAACGCGTCAGTACATATTAAGCGTAGCACTCTTGTTTCCTGAAAACATGTAAAATACTCTCACTAGAACACATATAATGTTAGTATAATATTATACTGCATATAATATTAAGTGTCAATAATGCACAGTACTCTCGCTTATCTGAAGTAATTTAAATTACGATCACATAAATAAAATACTCGGATAATAAAAATAATTCTTAAAACCTTTTATTTATACTTATAATAAGCACATTAATGTAACTATATCATTTGTCAACCACTTTAATATATATCAATTTACATACTTAAATGAAAAAATTTTGAATTTCTCGCTGTTAGATCTTCGCAAATAATTGAAATTTGTAGATTTAATAGAAAATTTTTGCAAATATGAAAATTATCAAATGATTTTTTTTTTATTTTAAATAAAAATTGCAATCAATTTTTTTTACCAATTATTTTGATGATTCAAAAATTCAATATTGAATAAGATAGGATATATTTTTTATAAAAACTAATCTGAAACAATTTTGTAAATTAATTCTCTTTACTTTTTACGCCTCTAAAATTAAAAAATTTAGCATTTCAGAAACTTTGCCGTCCTTTAAATTGTATAATACAATTATCATAGTTATTATTATTTCATTTATAGAAAAATCATCGAATAAACGTATAATTTATTATTAAAATTTACTAGTCAATAATAATAAAATAATAAAAACTAGGAACTCTTTTTCATAAAAAAAGAATGTATTATTTTTTTAGAGTGAATTTAATAAAAATAAATAAATTTCAAAAATCGAAATTCTCTTCCTGTATAATTTATGGTCTGAGAGTTAGTTGGTTATTTTCTATTCTAAATGATGTTAAATCAAAAAAATTCTTGTATTCTGTGGTTATTAACCTAAAAATTATCTCCAATTTTTTTTTTATATCATCTAGTTGATTTGGTATAGTCTCAAAATTGTATGAGATGACGTCTTTTTCGTGAGGTTTGGGAAATTCCTGAAATACTTTATTTAATACATTTTGTGGTAATTTGTGTGTTCTTGCTAAATCACTTATTTCTCTTGACGTTAAGAATAATTTTGAATATTTCATCATAAACCCCTTGATTGTTTTCTCATATTGACCTGATATAATATCTTCATGTAAAGTTAGAAAGTCTAAACGTAAGTCATAACATATGTCATAGGATTCTTTTGGATATATTTGTGCGGTACTCAATTGTTTAAAAACTTTTTTAAATAATTCCCAATCTATTACTGCCTCACGATCAATTTTTAGTGTCATATAGATATATACAAGTAGTAAAAACGCATACTTAAAAGTTCTATCATCCATGATTCTTCGTGCTTCCTCAAGAGTCAATGCAACATTTTTTTTATACGTTGTTGAGTTGTTAATGAAATCGGTAATTGTTATATTGTTTCGAGTAGAGATATTAATGTTAACAATCTCCTCTTTGACGTATTTCCATAAAGGATGTTTTTCTATCATATATAGTTGTACTTTTATAGTGTTATCATAAACCGTAGAATGAGCTAAAGTTCTATTATTAGAATGATTACTCTCCTGTAAAAATTAATTAATAATTTATATCAAATTGAAATTTAAGTATCTTCCTTCATTAAAAACGTATTCTACACGTGTTACGTCGCTTGAGCCTAAATTCTCGTCAACAGTATTCTAAGGGACCAATGGGGGATAGCTGGCTAGGCTATATCTCCCTTAAGTACTGAGGTTTCCTATTTAATTTATATTTCTTTAGAGGAACTACCAAGGGTCGCACTACAATATATATATATAACACACTTGGTTAACAACGATATAAATATTTATTGAGTAAAGATACATTAAATAAATAGTAAAACCTGCTGGACACCTAGAGATGATAATAATCCAACAGGAAGCTTTAAATTAGTCGGTAAATGACTAAATTATTATCTAAGTATTACTAAAAATTAAGTGACCCGAATGAGCTCGAAATTACGAATAAATGATCCTTCTAATTTTCATTATGCTATTTTAATATAAAGTGAAATATAAAAATATTAATGTATACTGTATTAAAACAACTTTTTAGGTTATATCCTTTTATTATAGAAAATAACAGAATTTTTTCAAATGATGATACTAATAGCTTTAATTAGTTATGATTTGTGATATTTTGACAAGTCTTTGAACAGAATTGATCAAAAAAAAAAAAAAAACAGAATTTTTAAATAAAAATTAAAATTTTCAACTTAAGTATTGAAAATGTTCCGGAAATACTCCAAACATATGTTAAAATAAAACTTAGTTTATGCATTATAAGTTAAAAAAAAATTGTCCCTATTTATCTTCTATTTGCAAATAGTTGCCGTAGTTAAAAAATATGCAACTTTGGTGTTAAAGTTTACGATTTCATATTGTATTATTTCAACTTTAAATTACTATAACTTTTTGAAAAGTGTTTGCATCAATAAATTTTTTTTTTGAAATACTTTATGTTTACCTCTTTTATGTGACATATATTTTTTTTTAATCGGACAATTTTCCCTTAAACAGGGGGGTTTAAATTTTGAAAAATACGAGTAAAAAGTAGAACTTATTTTTTGAAAATGTTCTAGAAATATTTCAAGCATTAAATATATTACATATTATAGTTTACAATAAATACTATAAGTTGTATCTATTTCATGAATATTCCTGTATTTACTTTAAAATTAAAGTTATTCACAAAAGATTTAAATTTCAAATCATGGAAAATATTTTAAATATATTGGTAGACTCACATAGATTTTAATTACGTTGAATAGAACTTTATTATTCAACATTCGAATAGATTGCTGCAATAAATTAATACCATTTTCTGTAAATAAAATGATTTCATAATTTGTTCAATATTTTTCATCAGGTGACATATGGATGTATTCAATATGATGTACATTTACCGTCGTATGAATAGTTTTTATATGTTTCTTTAGGACTTAAAGTTATGTATTTTTCTCCAAACGTCTTAAAAATACAAATATCATTTTTTAAAGGAATTCAGTCATTTAAATGAAATTTTAGGAAAACAAAATAAATAATTTTAAATATGAAATATTTGTTCCGTTTTGGTTCTCTATATGTTTTAATGAAAAACCACTATTAAATTATTATTATTGAAATTGTATTTATCTAATATTCATCTTCGATATGGTTTTTAATTTACTTACGTATATTTTTGTAATTTTATTTTTTTTACTACCATTTGATATATATATATATATATTTATATATATATATATATTAGGGTGGTCCTTATTTTTCGACTTAGGAAATTCCTTGGTCTCACATCCCAAATTTGTTTATATACATGTAAAAACGAACCAAAAAAAATTTTACTTTAATCTGACAAGTTTAACCCGTGCCTACTCGGAGTTGAAAATTGGACAATAGGGGTAGTTTTCCAGTGTTTTGTACTTAATTCGGAAATGAGCGATCATAGAAAAAAAAATATAGATTATAAATTGTTGACAATGTTATGGACTATAATTTTAATTTTTACACATTTTTTTTTAAACTCATTAGTTTTCGAGCAAAATTTAAAATTATACCATATTTTGTTGATTTGCTCAAATTGAAATATTTACGAATACTACATTATATTTGACAAACATTTAGAGATATGAATACATATTTTATACAAAAATCGTTTATTATTTAATTATTAACAAATTCAGCACAAAAATTACTGATGTTACAATTTTATAAATTATGCTAATTGTTTTTCTCAATTTCAAAATTCTTTACATCATAATTAAGTTAATTTTTTCTTTCGGGATACTTATTTTTATAATCCTTGACAATTTGTAATAAATACTATTTTTGATTTTCATCATTGGTTAAAATTCTGTTGTACTCTGTTATAAGTTATACAGTGTAAAAAAAAAATTGATTAATTCCATACATCAAACAGTTATAACAACATTTATGTATACTGGGGTGACTGATTAAAATATATACAAAAATAAATCACAAAAAGAGTATAAAATAAATTGTAATATACTGTATTACACATGGACTGAAAAGTCCCAAAGAAAACTTCTTTATTACAAAACACTAGAAAACTACCCCTAGTGTCCAATTTTCAACTCCAAGTAGGCACGGGTTAAACTTGTCAGATTGAAGTGAAATTTTTTTTGGTTCGTTTTTACATATTTACATGTTTTTACATGTAAACAAATTTGGGGGGTGAGACCAAGGAATTTCTAAAAGAAATTTTTCATAATCTATAACTAAGGACCACTCTTACATACAGAGTGATTTTTTTATCATAACCCACTCAATTACTTGCAGAATAATATTGATTTAAACAATTTTTTTTTATTATCTTTAGTTACATATTATTGCTGTCATAGTCACAGATTGTTTATTATCAATTATAACTATCAATAGATATATTTTTTGTATTATCAGTTAGTGTATTTATAAACTCAAAACAATGTACCTTACTATCATTGATAATAACAATGCTGTGTACCTGCTAATAACGATGTCATAAAAAATCAATTAGCAACCTGTATTTGTAATCCCTTGTGTATTATACCTGTATATTAATTCAAAAATTTGAAACTTTAAATGATTATATCTAATAAACGAATTAAGTTATATTAAAAATTCAAATGCCATTTACTATTAAATTAAAAACTCAAACATTTTATTAAATTAAAAATATGTGTTACCATTTAAAAAAACAAAGTTGACCCCCCTCCAAGGCATAAGGGATGAACTTAAAAAGTATTACATAGTTAAAAATTCAAGAATAATGTGTAACTAAAGATAATAAAAAAAAAAATGTTTAAATTATTATTATTCTGCAAGTAATTGAGTGGGTTATGATAAAAAAATCATCCTGTATATATATTCGTGAGTCACAGAAATATAACAAATCCAATAACTCTTGATTCAACAATCTTTTTTATGTATTTTTTTTAAAAATAATTTTAGCAATTATAGTCTACGTTAAAATTTACTTATTTGTTTTGAATAAGAAATAAAGTTTAAATTAATTTTTTGAATTCCTTCCGAATTTCAAAATAGCCATTTCATAACCCCTTTTTTAAAATTTGATGTATCAATAATAATTTTAGGACTAACTGAGTTTCAAGCATTTCAATACATTGAATTTTAAAACCAAGTCAGTGATATATTATTATGATGTATATAAAATAAAAGTGTTTTTTATAGTGATTCTAAATCGTTGACCACTTAATTAAGCAAAAAATGAATATATTAATGGGTTTTTTTTTTTAATTTAATATTTCTCTGAATTTATTAACCATCAAGTTGTGGGGATATATATATAATATTTTATAAAGTTCAATTTATTATATATTTTATTATTAATTAATCATAATATAATCACATAGGGAATTGACATTAATTTTTCAAATCGTTTAATGCATATTTAATTAGTTTATAAAATAGAAAATAATTTAATATAAAAAATTATTTGTTCTATACAACTTTTGGTTCAGTATTTTGGAAGCTATTAATAAATTAATGTAAAGACTAAAAGAAAGACCGAGGATGTTGTTATTTTTATCACTAGATATTTTTAGTTCATTCTCTTCCCGATTAGGTATATAAATTAATTAATAACTTTGGATAACTCAGTTAATAACTATTTAATAACTTATGATTCAAAAGTTAATATCGACTAGTCATTTACATTATTAGAATTTTTCTATTATTTAAGCTAGATAGAAATATATGGTTCCATTCAAAAATAAATTAAATGAACACTCTTATATGATATAAAAAAGGACCTAAAAATGATTATATTACAAATAAATATAAATACATTATATGCATCTCTATTTCGTTATAAACCTATATATTATAAAGGTAATTAACAAAAGTCAAACAAAAATTCTCAAAATAATCATTGTTATAAAATAATTTGTTTGGCTAATGTTAAAAGAGTATTCCTGAATTACCTGTATCCTGTATTTAAAGAAAAATTTGTTTTATAGAACATTTAAAATACAATGAAAATTTAATAAATATTCTTAAAATAAATATAGTTTAAAAAAAACCCAGCACAGGGGAGTCGCGGCACAGTGGTGACGTGGCATAGATGGATCAAGTATAATGATATCTGACAGTGATTAAAATCACTATCATAAAAAACGCTTNATAGTTGGATCAAGTATAATGATATCTGACAGTGATTAAAATCACTATCATAAAAAACGCTTCGATGCAAATCTTTAGATAGTGTTTAATTTTAAAAAAATTGGTGTTTTATTCCAGAAGCTACATGATCTGCTGGTTCCTTATTAATATCTCGATTAAGATAAAGTATGTCGAACGAAAAAGGATTTATTAAAAAATATTATTTCTTAGAAAAAAATTGTGTGGATCCATACACTTTTCAATAAGTTATAGCATTATAAAGTTAAAAATGTAAAAAATAAAATCGAGAATTTTCACACAAAAATAGCATTCGGTAGCCATTTTCACCATGAAGACAAGTCCAGAGGTCAAATTTTTTTTTTTAAATTAAAGTATATTACATTAGCTTTAATTTAAGATATATATAAAAGTGTCAGACTTTCCGGAACACTTTCAAAAGTTAAGTTGAAAAAGTTCTACTTAATATATGCATTTTTCATATTTTAAGCCCCCCCACATATAGAGAAATGGTCTAATTTTAAAAAAAAGTATGTCAAATGAAAAAGGGATTATTAAAAAATAGTATTTCCCATAAAAAAATTATATTGATCAATACACTTTTCAATAAGTTATAGCATTATAATGTTAAAAATGTAAAAAATAAAATTGAGAATTTTCACACAATAATAGCATTTGGTAGCCATTTTCTCCTTGNTTTTTTTTTTTGTGTCTGTTACCACTTTTTCTCAGCTCTCACCGAACGGGTTTCTTTCAACGATACGTCAAAAGATCACAAATTGTATCTAGTCGGAGACATTACCCTTAAAAATTGAAAAAAATTCCCTCGTTCCCCGTAAAAGGGGGAAACCTCCAANTCCCTCGTTCCCCGTAAATGGGGGAAACCTCCAAAAAAATTACAAATTTAAAAATCGCTAATTTTCAAAATTTTTTCAATTTTTTTTTCTTAAAAGTGCCATAACTTTNAATTTTTTCAATTTTTTTTACTTAAAAGTGCCATAACTTTTCAAAAATGAACGTATCAATATAATTTTATTTTTATATAGATGCATAATATCATTACCTTTTATTTGGTATATTTTTTTTATAAATCTGACTTTTTACCTGCCTACAGGGGGGGATTCAAAATGACAACTTTTTCACAAAAAATTGACTTTTTCAACTTAAATTTTGAAAGTGTTCCGGAAAGTCTGACACTTTTATATATATCTTAAATTAAAGCTAATGTAATATACTTTATCATGGAAAAAAAAAATTTCGGACTTTATTTTATCTTCATGGTGAAAATAGACATTAAACTTAATAAAAAAAATACGATTTTTGTAAAAAAATTCTTTTTTATATTTTTAACTTTATAATGCTATAACTTCTCGAAAGATGTATGGATCAATATAATTCTTTTTTTTGTAGATGCATGATGTCTTTACCTATCATTTGGTATATTTTTTTTATAAATCTGACTTTTTACCTGCCTACAGGGGGGGATTCAAAATGACAACTTTTTCACAAAAAATTGACTTTTTCAACTTAAATTTTGAAAGTGTTCCGGAAAGTCTGACACTTTTATATATATCTTAAATTAAAGCTAATGTAATATACTTTATCATGGAAAAAAAAAATTTCGGACTTTATTTTATCTTCAAGGTGAAAATGGCTACCAAATGCTATTATTGTGTGAAAATTCTCAATTTTATTTTTTACATTTTTAACATTATAATGCTATAACTTATTGAAAAGTGTATTGATCAATATAATTTTTTTATGGGAAATACTATTTTCTAATAATCTCTTTTTTATTCGACATACTTTGTCTTAATCAGGATATTAATAAGGAACTAGCAGTTTATGAAGCTTTTGGAATAATCCACCAATTTTTTAAAATTAAACACTATCTAAAGATTTGCATCGAAGCGTTTTTTTTTGATAGTGATTTTAATCACTGTCAGATATCATTATACTTGATCCAACTATGCCACGTCACCACTGTGCCGCGACCCCCCTGTGCTGGGTTTTTTTAAACTATATTTAGTTTTCACTTTTTAGTTTCATGTTAACATAGTAGTTAATATCAATATCATGGTTGTAACGGGTAATGGGAAATCAGGGTTCGATTCCGGAGAGGGAGTCTAAGAAACGGCTACCACATCCAAGGAAAGCAGCAGGCACGCAACGTGGAGGTAGTGATGAAAAATGACGATACGGGAATCATCCTTTGTAATCGGAATAAATACTCTATATATCTCCTAATGAGAATAAAGCGTATTAATATTTAAGTTTTAATAGTAATTAGAATATATATATATATATATACATGTAAAGCGACTTAAGTACGTTAGCAGCGTAGATGATGAAGATGCCCGAGTGCGGATCAGTTTGTTGACGTTGTCACTTTGACAACGGAAAGAAGACTACGGTATCATTAGCGGGGGGACGTCGTCGGCAGTGCGGCACTTGGTGGACTTTGCACCGTGGCGTATAACGCGCGGTGTTGATCAGTCAAATACTCATAAAATAGGGCAACGGCTTCATTAGCAACGGTTGATAAAGATGGCGAGAGTCGGGGGCATCGTGAACAACGAAACGATGCGGGGCCGTGTCAATCACAATAAAAATTTGTTATATATATAATTGATAACACGCACGCGAATACGAGTACGAAAACCAAAAATAAAAATATACAGGAAAATATGTATGTAGATGAGTGGTGAGAGGGGTGGGGTGAATGCGTTACGACAGTCTATTCTCAAGGTCATACACGACGGGATACGCGACATAATAACACGTGCCCCGTGGAGTTACAAACTTACAACAAACAACATACATGTGAAACTAATATAAGCGTGTTAATATAATTTTATTTTTATAAACTATCGATAACATACACATTATTGATATTGACTGATAATTTAAGTTGACACCCTTAACATGTATAGAGGAAGAACTTAAAAAATATTTCATGATTAATAAATTGATAAAAACACAAAACTAAAAGAAACCAAAAAAAAATTTGTTAAAATTATAATAATTATAAGGTCAATAATAAAATAATAACTTTGTATGAATATTTTAATTATAAAATAATTATTAGATGTAAAAAAATTATATGCATAAATATTCAACGTTTACAATAGAAGTTACATACGATTTTAATCATTTTATTGATTTTTGAATTTTCATCAACACGATCATTCTAAAAAAATATCGGTACATTATTAATTTATTACTACTAAGAAATACAAAGAATATTCTTCCTATTTAATTTATAAATGTTGTTATGATTAATATTATTATTATATATATTTGCAAGCTCAAGTCTTTTCTTATACAAACACACAAATAAGAAAAATTATTCCACCCTCTCACAGTAAGATAAAAATTTAATTATAACAATTTCATTTTTTTGTGAACTATATAAATTTCTATTCTCTCACGCTAAATATCTTTTTGATTAAATACTTACATAATTCAAAAAAATTTCAGCAAAAATTTTTTTTTTATTAACGAAATCCTGAAATATAACATAAAATATAATTATTCTGTTTGGTAACATTCACAAATTTATCTATATTTATCGTAAGGCACTTAATTTATCGAAAAATAACAATAACATTAATCATTTTACATTATGTGTTTATTTATTAATTTTTTGTGTCTATCACTTTTCCTATACTGGACCAATTTTTTTCAACGATATGTCAAAAAATTAAAAATCGTATCTAGTGAAAGACATTACCCTCAAAAATTGAAACTTATTCCTTCGTTCTCCGTAAATGGTTAAAATCCCTCAAAAAGTTACGATTTTTAAAATCGATAAATTTCGACATTTTTATTTTTTATTTTTAAAATTGCCATAACATATTGAAAAATGAACAAATAAAAATAACTCTTTTTTAAATTGAAACCCTAGATATTTCTCTTTCATTTGATTTTTTTGAAAATCTGACCGTATTTGAACAGAGGGGGATTCAAATAGCAACTTCTGGATAAAAATTTCTATTTGAAAAATGTTCCGGAAATACTCCGAGCTTCAAACATATGTTAAAATAAAGCTTATGTTATGTACTAGAAATTAAAAAAAAAATTGCTATTTTTGTGTTCAAATTTCAGAACACCACCCATTGAAAGTACTTTTTTTCAGTTTTTTTCTTAATTCTTTTTGAAGTATAAATAAAATTCAAAATTCATTAGATTGTATCTCATTTAGATTGTATAACTTCAATGAATACCAAGGAACCCATCACTGTAGTTTTCCTTCACAAAAAGAAATTTTTAATTCATATTAAAATTATTTTACTGTTGTTTTTATTATTTGTTATTCATTTTTCTCAGCTTTCACTTGACTAAATTTTTAAACAATACGTCAAATGATTACAACAAGTGTCTAGTTAATGATGTTACCCTACTTGCTTTTAGAATAATTCATCAATTTCTTAAAATTATACACTATCTACAGATTGGTATCGAAGTTTTTCTTATAATGGTGATTTTTACCATGTCAGATTAAATATATACATATGCTCACTATGTCACAACCCCACTGTGCTACCGTTATTTTTTTTTATTTGTTTCTTTTAGTGCAATATTTACATTGACATATTTATATCTATGTGAGAGGAAGGGAACGAACGAGAAATATTAAGTAGAAAAAATAGCAGCACCTACTTTTCATCTTCAATTTTTACTTTACTTTGTTAGTAACTTCCGAAATACTGACCCAAAAGTTTTTATCAACCAGTTATTTTCTTAATTAAATCACTAGTAAATTATGTGTGTTACCATTTGAGCGATAAAATTTGACATCCTTTTAAGATATAAAGGACGAACATAAAAAATACTTAATGATTGAAAAATTGAGTGAAATATTTAACTAAAAGAAACAAATAAAAAACATTAGCACAGTGGGGACGTGGTACAGTTATAGATGATTACTAATAGTAATAAAAATCACTAACATAAAAAACGCTTCGATTGAAATCTATAGATATGTTTAATTTTAAAAAATTGGTATATTATTCCAAAAACAAAATTAACTCCTATTTTTCTTCAACTTCGTCTGTCATTTGCTCATAGAAGATAGGTCATCGGTAAATTTTTTTTTTTACTTATATTTTTTTCTTAAATTTTCAGGGTTTATTCTTTATGCTATATTTAGAGTAAAACAATATTTTTTTTTATGATCTTTCCATTTTTATAGCTATTTCAATGTAAAATATGTTAAGATTAGTCTGAACGTCAAAAACCACACAGATTATTCAATATTAAATTGATCGACTTAAAATTTTAGAATTATAACTTACAGTTTACATTAATAACAATTTTTAACTTTGTAGAACTCTAAATACTAAGAAAATTGTTTTGAATATTTGAAATTTAGTTGAATCATAGATTACATACAATACCACATTAGAAAATCATTATAAAATAATAGCTTTTTAATGGTTTTAATTGTGCTCAAAAACGCCAATTTACACATAAAAGTGCCATTTTTAGAAAGTCCTTGAAGTTTAAAATTTCACATCATTTTTTTTTTTTTTTAATGTAAACTGTAAGTTATAATTCTCAAATTTTAAGCCGATCAAATTAATATCGAATAATTTATGCGGTTTTTAACGTTCAGATTATTCTTAACATATTTTACATTGAAATATCTATAAAAATGGAAAAGTCATAAAAAAGAAAATTTTTTTTAACTAAATATAGCATAAATAATAAACCTCGATAATTTAAGAAAAAAATGTCCTGATCATGCAACCACTTTTGGATGTTTTGACATTGTCACTACAACTCCCTGCTGGTTAAAGGGCTCACGGTCATTTCCATGACTTTTGGTATATGGCTCAATTTTCAAAATTCATATGTCATTCAATAGCTCATTATTATCTTATTCTAACGCAAAAATAAAAATCCGTAATTGGCCGTTTAGTTTTTGTAATATATGACTTCAAAGTTTTCAGTTAAAATTGATCATATCGCTAAACCTAAAAGGTTCAAATAGTTGACTAACATCAATTAAACTTCTACGCAACGAGTGCAACAGTAATTCGAACATGATCTCGCATTCCATCCTCTGAAAATAGGATAAAAGCTATTTTACGTTTTTCGAAGCTTATTTATTTCGCTTAGCACAGGCGTAGGCCTTATCAAACTAATATAGTCCTAATAAGCATAGCTTAAAATTTACAATAGATGGCGTTATCAAGAATTTAGTCGTTTTTGCTCTCTACTGCGTATGTCCAGTAAACACGTGTTACGCATGTGCAGTAACTTGAAATATATTTTATCTAATTTGCAGCGGATGGAATGTGAGATCAAGTTCGAAGTACTGTTGTACTTGTTGCGTAGAGCTTTAATTGATGTTAGTCAATTATTTGAACTTTATTGGTTTGAAGATATGATCGATTTTCACTGAAAAATTTGAAGTCATATATCTCAAAAACTATGGATTTTTATTTTTGCGTTAGAATAAGTTAATAATGAGCTATCGATTGACATATGAATTTCGAAAATTGAGCCATATACCAAAAGTCAGGGAAATGAGCCTGGGCCCTTTCACTCAACCTACATGTCAAGCTTGAACAAAAAATGAAAATAACATCCGATAAATACGATTCATAAAAAGAACAAATAATTTATTATTAGGTGATGCTATCCTTTGTACCTAACGACCTATTTTAGTAAGGAAAAACACCGGAGATTGCGTAGATCATAATGCGAAGTGGTTTGGATAGTGCCACGGTCCTACCAGAGTTCTTGAGATTGTTGCAAACCAAAGGCAAACGGTACGGAAAACCTAGTTGTCCGGCATTGGTATTCTGTTTAAAGACACGAACAAAACCCTATGTGTAACATCGCTCCAGTTCGTAATGAGCCGTCGTGCCCAATAGCACCCAGTGCTAACACTGATCACAGTTGTAGGCGGAACTCTACGAAGAAAAACCATAATAGACAATAAACATTGATCCAATTTACTAGAAACAATAAAAAAAATGTTAGTATGTTTTTTATGAAAATCCGATGAACCTGAATACAGGAAAGATTTAAAAGAGACTACACACGAAAATGTCACATACACCGATAGCGAGTAATTCGTTGATGAGTAAAAATCTTAACATTTAGCTTAAAACATTTGATCTTGAGATTTTTTAAAAACTTGAAATTTTACATCAATCAATCCAGTCTTCTTTCAAATTTAAAACAAATAATGGCAATAATGTTATCAAATTGTGTACACATGCTGAATAGGGTGAGATAAACATTTTTATTTCTTACAACTTAGGTGTAAAAACTACTATTTTTCAAGATCTTAATGTGTGAATTATTAACCCGTGTTCTCTTATTAACAAAACCTATTATAATGTCTACTTAAAAGAAATTCTTACAATTGTTGTAGATCCACACTGCAGAACCTAAAATAAAAAAAAAGTATAACAGAATGATTTTATTAATCAATGAAAAATGATATCATAACATGAGCAATAACAATTCTCATTACAAACATACTGTTGAAATTTTGAAACAACCAGGCATAGTAATCATTTTAGCTTCATTAACCTATAGTATAATCAATAAATGTTAATAAGACCAATTTTTAAATAAAAAGAGTTTAATTCATGAAAGTTAATAAATAAATTCAATATTGATTGATATTTACATAATCCCCTTCATTTTTCGAATTTATAATATCCATCACACCTTCCTATATAAAAACAATATATTTGAAAATTTGCTATAAAATTTGGTATTATTAATTACAATAAGCATAAAAAATTATTCATTTCAAAAATAATACATTGAGGTGATTATGAAGAAAAAAATTTTATAATGATTTTCTTAGTTCTAAGAAAGTTTTAGGTGTAAGATTTTACACTAACAAATGTCACATTGAAATTAAATAAAAAAAGCATCTTAACTATATTATTAAATTAAATATCATTTAATAAATTTTTCAAATTACTTGGCCAATTAAAATTATATTTCCAAAAACATCACCAAAATAAAAATCAATCGCAATAATTAAAACAAGAGAATATTTTTTGTAAATCATTTCTTTAAAATATTAAGGTATAAACTGTATAAATGATGAAATCATATCATAGAATATATTCTGTTTATTTTTCATTAAACTTATTTAAATTTATATGTATTAAAGTAAATAAAATATTGAAAATTATTTTAAACTGTGTCATTATAGCATATTTTTTATATTATCTATGACAAAATTTAAATTTATACTTTAATTATATATAAAGTATGAAATGAATTGCTTTTAACTTTTGCACTTAATTATATAAAACTATACTATTATTATTATTAACTATAGCATGAATAAAATTTTTACTAAATTATGTTTTTTTTTTTAATTTTTGGCGTTTTAGGTATATCTAGATTGAAATTGGGATTTTTTTTATGTATTGCTTATTAAAATGGGTCTGTGATAGCTGAAAATTTTCATGGAAAGACATAAATAACTTGCTTCATTTTTTCTACATTTTTTTCTTTTTTACAAAATAAAACGATAAGTGCTTGGGGTTGTCAGAGTTCATATTTTACATTTAATTAGATTTTTTTAAATTTGATTTATTCCATTCTCAAAAGAATAATTCGGGCTTTTAATGATGTAAATTTAAAATCATTTTATCATGAAAATATAAAATAATAAAAATTCATGTAAAAAAATTGTTTATATTATTGAACAAACGTACTTATATAGCGTCTTACTCTTTGGGAGCTATACAAATGTAAATATAATTTTAAATTGATATCAATTCTGAGTAATAAAATAAATTTACTTAGTGTAAATTTTTTCAGCACTTTTTTAAAGTTATAAAGTTTGAGTGATAATTATTAATAATAACCACCAGGAAACAGTATAAAAAAAATTGCTAATTAATTCCCGAAAGAGTATATACTAATATACAAATAGACATTTATACAGGATTTCATATTATTTTAGCATATGTACAAATTTCTATAGATTTATGGCCGGTCCCAAGTAGTTGGGATTAAGACGAGGCATAAGAATAAGTACAAATCTGTATAGAGCTTTTAATTTTTTTAAAACAGTTAGTGCAAAAAGTCAAAGTTAAGTTTATGTTATTTAGACCCTACATATCAAGGTAATTTTTAATACAAAATTAAGTTCTAAATACCACATATAATATATTTATTTATAATGATGATTATTGTAAGACCTGGAGTTATTTTGATAAATAATAACAAACGTAAATCTGATGAAGACATGGATTTCTGGGGTGGAGAGCAATCTGATGACATTTGCTTACAAGCCGAATTAACAATACATTGAAAAATAAAAATTCTGAAAACGCTCAATGAAGCAAAAGCCAACGGTTAAATATGGTCAAAACACTAGGATTTAATTTAATTCAATCCGCTTTCTGAGTTATGGCTAAAATATTTTATAAAAAGAATCTAAATTGATGCCCCCAGCAATATCTTGACAAGATAAAACCCGAATTAATTGACTTATTGGTAAAGTTAATCTCTGAAAATGTGATTCAATTCGGGCTTTAACTTGAGGGTACATACAGTGTGCCACATACAATCATTAAAGAAAACAGGTCTTTTAGAATGTCGGCCCGTTAGCTTGTTGATGATGATTGATGATACAAACGATTTGAGTAGTATAATCGACGAGGAGTTTGCTAAATTATTGTATGAAGAAGAGGTCTACCGTGGTAAGGGTTCAAATTACTACTCTGTGTATATAAGTTTACTCCGCTTGGTGGTTTTTCATATATTAAATTATCGGAATGTATTGAAAACATTGAGGCAAAAATTAATGTAATGAGTAATGATAATTTATGTTTTAATTATAAAATAATCGCCAAAATTTTAACTCAATAAATGCTAATCGTGTAAGTAATTACACAAACGTCGAAGAAAAATATAATTTTTTAGGATTGACATACCCAGTGTCATTAAAACAAGTAAGCAAAGTTGATAAAAATAATCCTAACGTGTTAAATAAAGTTTTAAGTATTAAAATATTTCATGCTAAACAGTGATTTTTACATATAAATTGTAAGTTTCGTTAAATTTGACGGCCATTTTCCCATAGAAGAAAAGGTGTTGGGAAATCTTTTTTTTTTGAACTGATATTCTTTATCATAAGCTTTAATTTGAAATATTTATCACATGTAAGGTATTGTTACACTCAAAATGGAAAGTAATCAATACTAATGCGTGAAGGAATATTTTTCATTACGCAATTGCATTAATCAATGAGAATAGAATAATCATAACAATTAATTAAATTTATCAATTTATATAAACTTCAAAGTCAGGAAAACATCGTAACAATGCACGAATAGGACAATTGACAAAAACAAGAGAGAAGGGAAAAATATTGTACAAGTTACCAAAATTTAATTAAAACGACGTCCAAGCCGTAGCTCACAAAATCGTCTTCACCCATGGTTTGATCACCAGGGCCAAAAAGTAAAATTGAGGTAGCCATTGTGTTGTATGAGTGCATCAGTGGACAAAAGTAAAAACTGGCTGAATAAAACTACGATCGGAGAACAAGTAAGTGAGATTTGCATTTGAACCAAAACGGCCAGGCGACTGCACGGTGTAATGTCTGATGACAGATGGACAACGACGCTAACAACAGTGTATGCCTTTTCGTTTAGCACCTGGAATCGGTTGTAGTGTGTACAGGTATTACAGTGGTCAGCTGAATGATCCTTAGCATAGTCACCATTGATTATGTTTTATAGTAATTGCACAATGGATAATTTTGATGATGACAAAAGAAATTATTTTTTTAATAAGGACGATTAAATTAGGTTGCAGATGTTCAATAAATAATTGTTATCCTCAATAGAATTAATACCTCACAGAAATAAACATTCACTACCAAACGTGCAACAACAAACTAAATATATGTGTTTATAATGTCTAATATTTTAATATACTATCTTATAATTTTAAGTGATTGATAAGATGATCAAATTTTTATGTCACAAAGTCTTCGGTTTTTAATTACGATTAATATGTTTTCATTTCGAAACACCCTTTCCAGTTCCTCATTTTTCCTTGTTCTAAATTATTTCGTTTCTCTGTCTTTAACAGTTCCAAAAATCTTCATTAAGACTCTCCTTTCAAAAACCAGTAATTTCCTTTTCTCAATCTTTCTTAGTAAACAGGCCTCAGCCCTATAGTTGACAACTGGACATATTAAGGTTATATGAAGCGCCAAGAGCCAGAGTGGACTATCCTTCTAGATATACTAGTTGAAAAAAACAACATTGAAGTTTGAACTACAAATTAAAATTTCAATTGAAATAACTAAGACATATACTTTTACACTTATAAATAATAGTTATTCTATAAAATAACGTACTAATGAAACAGTTGTTTAAAAAAAATCAATGATGGTCCACTCTGGCATTATAGAATTAATTTTTATAAGGCTTGGTCTGAATGGTTTTTTAGCGCAATCTATTAAAATTTTTAAAAAACAAATTATTTTGATACACGCATCACTAGACAACAGTAGATTAGGATGATTGCAATAATATTCTCGAAAGATGAAAAAAAAATGTGGTATAGTCCGCTCTGGCTCAGAGCGCCTATAGAAATTATTGACAAATAATTTAAATATTTTCTCAATATTGGTATCTGTTTGCGCTCAGCAAAGTTTATCTTTAAATTGTGGTCACACTGAATGGTCACCCGTTACTTCTCTTATCAGTGGTCAAATGAGTCGGCCGGAGTAGCAGTTATGCGCTTAAAAATCTACTCTTACATTCGTTTTTGAATTGCCAAGCTGTCCACCTGTCGTTGGTGAAAATCTCGATTCGTGAACATTTGCCATTGTGTTTTTAAAAATTAATTGTTAAATTTTCTTGGACTTTTATCGCTGTCATATTGTTGACGAATTTGTAACGGTAATTCACATTATTATTGTAATTTGTAGGAAACTTTGCTTACAATTATTTCCTAACTTAAATTCTTAAATCAAGTTTTAGAAACCTCGTGGTTGATTTCAAATTTCTTATTAAATATTGGTTTATTGGTAATATAAGATAATTATTACACATTTGTTGTTGTCATATCAAATAGATATTGTAATAGTACATTAAGCAGACAAGTCAAAATCTAAAATTAGTGTTGAAATCAGTCACTAGAGTTCTAAAACTTCTTGGAGGTGGGTAGTAAAACTTTATCCAGTTGAATCTCAAAATTGTTTTACTTATTGACAATATGTCATGTAAAACAACCCGTAATTATCAAAATCCATTGTCGATCAGTCGCTAAATTCAAATTTTTGTTCACAAATTTTGTCTTTACTCACATTTGTAATCCCTCAACTTAAACTTATTTTGTCTTCTCAGAAACTATCTAGTTTCTCTAATTAAACCATCACACTAAAACTCACAAAATTAAATATTTGTAATTGATCTCATTTTGGTACCTTATATGACATAGTTTATAGATAAATTGCTCCTATTAGTTTTTATTTTCTTTTGTACATGTAGTTTAGAATTAGCTTATACCTTAAAATCAAATGAGTATTAATTCTTTGAGCTGACAATTCATTAATTTTGAAACATTATAATAAAAAATTTAGTTGTAATGCACACTTTTAAACACGTTATGTATATTTAATATATTGTCACATATATTTACACATGTTGCTTGAGAACTCAATATCAGATTGTAATTTGTTACTAGTTTATAAGTCTATTATCTACTTGATTTTTGATTGTATGATTGGGTTGAAACAATAGTTTAGTAATCATTTTGTAAATGCATGTTGTTTCTAGTGTACATGTCAACTATTTCACTTGTAATCATAAAGTAACCTTGTTGTCATAAATGTAGTTATTTACCTAGTTGTTGTCAACAAGAAAATTATTTACTTGTAAGAATAGAATTAAAAATCATATCTTTAGTTAACTTATTTCTAGCTGTTGTCATTTAAATTTACCCTCTATACAGTCCACTAAGAAAATACAAAATAAATTTGGTAATTGCATCAGTACCATATATTGGTTCTACTATTACAAATTATACAACTGTTCACTCAGTGTTGATTTAGCTCAAACAGTTAAACTGAAATGTTCAAGTAGTCTGTCGGTTAATGTAGTGCGCTTACAGTGTCATTTATACTTAAATTCCATTATTATCTGGTAAGATATAACTGTGGGTAGTAGTGAATCCAACTTTGTTGGACTTATGTGTGTTTGTCGGGTAAGGTCGAATGGCAGGAAGTCGATGAACGTCACAACTTCAATGGGCTACACATGCTATGCGAAGCCAGAACCACCTTATAAGGATGATCATGGACGAGAACCCAGTTGATAAGAGACCATTGAGAAAATCACGATTGAGTTGGGAAAATGTGATAAGTAATGACGTGGAAACACTGAACCGAGGATAGGATTGAAAAACAAGAGCGGTGGATAGGGAAGGCTGTAGGATTAGACAGTCTTGATGGACGGAATACCCAAGAAGAGGAAAAATTAACGGAATAAATGAATGATGTCACAGTCAAGCTGACAAGCAAGGTTAAAAAAAAGTTATAATTAAAATTTGACCTTTTTTATTATAAGCTTTCGAAAAAATTAATTTAAAAGAACCAAAAAAATAGATTGAAAATGACATTTTACACAAAGTTTTTAACATATTGAAAATTCAATATTTCTTTAAGAGCACAATTAGATCATCATATAATAAAGAAGAAACCTTATTAAGTCTGATGCTTAGGTTGGATGCTTAGTAGGTAAAAGGGACAAATATAAAATTACTTCATAGGTTAATACGTAACTAAAAGAAGAAATATTATTTTTTACTTTATTTATATTCCATATTTATTTTATTTTTCGATTACATAAGTTTTACATGATGATAGAATCATGAGTAAGAATCATTTAAAATCTCTTTATAATCTTTTGACAAAAATGAACTGTATTCTGTGGTAATTAATCTAACAATTGTCTTCAATTTTTTCTTTATGACAAATAATTCTGTTGTAAAATCGTATGAGATGTCGTTGTTTTCTGGAGGTTTGAGAAAATCATGATATGCTTTTGTAAATAAATCTTGTGGTAATAGGACTGTATTTTCTAAACTTATTTTGAATAATATTAAGTATTTATCCATCAAGCATTCGATAATTTTCTGACATAATTGTGGTTCATTAGGTTTTAATACATCAAAATCAACACGTAGGTCAAAAAGTATGTTATTGATGTATTTCGATTTAATTTGTGCATTTCTCAATTGTGTACAAACATTTTTAAATGATACCCAATTTATTGCTTCATCATTATCAAGTTTTAGTGTCATATAGGTATATACGACTAGTAAACACGCATACTTAAAAGTTCGATCATCCATAATTTTTTCTGCTTCATCGATAGTAGATGCAACATTTTTTTTATACATAGTTGAGTTATTGATGAAATCTTCAAGTGTTATATTAGATAGAGTAAAAGTAGAAGAACAAGTAATGAGAACTTTCTCCTCTTTGACATATTTCCATGAAGACAAATTTTTTATCATATCTAGTTTTATTTTTAAATGATTATCATAAACCCTAGAATGAGCTAAAGCTCTATTACTAGAAAGATTACTCTCCTGCAAAAATCAAATTTATAATTTATATCAAATTAAAGTTTAAATATTTTAACTCATTAAAAATCTATTCTATGGGTCCACGTATTTCATCAAAATATTTAACGGTAGAAATGTTTACATTAGGTAAAATATTAAAATTATTTTATTTTACGAGTTTTTTTGTAATGAGAATATCATCTCTTAACAGAGTTAATTACTCTGTAAGTCGCCTACTTAAATCTAGACTAAAGATATTTCAGTGCAGATTATAGAAACTAGTATGGTTGTATTAGTATCAATGTAGTAATAAAATTATCTATTCAAGAGAGCCGAGATCCCTTACAGTGAACTAGAATATAAAATTAAATCAAATAATGTTTCAATGCGATTGTGAATAAAGAACTTAAAAGAAAATAAAAACAATTTAACGAAATTTTCGCAAATTTTGGCTTAGAGCTACCTATTACTTAATGAAGATAAGACGTCGGGATACTTTTCTTTGTTTTTATCTTAAAAATTGCTTAATTAGATTTTCAAAAAAGTTTAGTTGTTAATAACTAAATAATCAAAACATATCGTAATTCAAAAAAATCACCAAATTACGAATGATTCGTTTAGTTTACAAGAAGTTAGTTTAATATAAAGTGAAAGCTAAAAATAACAATACTAAAATCTGTTTTAAAACAATAATAATTTTTCAGATCATTTCCTTTTCTTTCTAAATTTCATTTTAATCGAACTAATTTTCGCAATGCTATTTCAATATAAAGTGGAAAATATAAATATTAAAATGTATTTTGTACTAAAATATTTATAAGTGTTTAGGTTGTAATGTAACTGTATTGCAATATTATTATTTAAAAAAGTAAAAGTTGTTTTGATTTTAATATTTTCAACCACTTTATTTAAATCTCAAAAGGACAATCTTGCAACAAATTTTAATGAACACCCATATGAATTAGATAAAGGTTTAAAGAATAATATTTTTATAAACACACAAATTAATAACCAAATGATAAATGAATTATACTTTGATATAAACTAAAAAATATTTTTCATTTGTGCAGCATTCTTCATGGGATATTTACCGATTTCTGTATTTATAAACTTAAATTTTTTTTAATTTTATAAAAAACAAACCCAGCACAGGGGGGTCGCGGCACAGTGGTGTCGTGGTATAGTTGGATCAAGTATAATTATATCTGACAGTGATTAAAATCACTATCAAAAAAAACGCTTCGATGCAAATCTTTAGATAGTGTTTAATTTTAAAAAAATTGGTGTTTTATTCCAAAAGCTACATGATCTGCTGGTTCCTTATTAATATCTCGATTAAGATAAAGTATGTCGAACGAAAAAGGGTTTATTAAAAAAAATTATTTCTTAGAAAAAAATTGTGTGGATCCATACACTTTTCAATAAGTTATAGCATTATAAAGTTAAAAATGTAAAAAATAAAATCGAGAATTTTCACACAAAAATAGCATTCGGTAACCATTTTCACCATGAAGACAAGTCCAGGGGTCAAATTTTTTTTTTTAAATTAAAGTATATTACATTAGCATTAATTTAAGATATATATAAAAGTGTCAGACCTTCCGGAACACTTTCAAAAGTTAAGTTGAAAAAGTTCTACTTTCTATATGCATTTTTTATATTTGAAGCCCCCCCATATATAGGGAAATAGTCTGATTTAAAAAAAAAGTATATCCAATGAAAGATGTATATAAATACTACTTCTCATGAAAAAATTGTATTGATCCATACATTTTTTAAAAAGTTATAGCACTTTAAAGTAAAAAATGTAAATTATAAAATCGAGAATTTTCCTACAAAAATAGCATTGGATAGCCATTTTCACCATAAAGACAAGTTCAGCGGTCAAATTTTTTTTTCATAAAAAAGAACATTACATTAGCTTTAATTTAAGATAAATAGTTGTCAGATCTTTCGGAACATTTTCAAAAGTTAAATTGAAAAAGTTCTCATTTTAAATCCCCCCTTGTGGGCAGTTTAAGTGTCAGATTTACAAAAAAAACTATACCAAATGATAAGTAAAGACATCAAGCATCTATATAAAAACAAATTATATTGATATTTTCATTTTTGAAAAAGTTACGGCAGTTTTTAGTAAAAAAATTGAAAAAACTTCGAAAATTAGCGATTTTTAAATTTGTAATTCTTTTGGAGGTTTCTCTCATTTACGAGGAACGAGGGAAATTTTTTCAATTTTTGAGGATAATTTCTTCGACAAGATACGATTTATGATCTTTGACGTATCGTTGAAAGAAATCCGTTCGGTGAATGCTAAGAAAAAGTGGTAACAGACACAAAAAAAAAACACATCATAGTAAAACCAATACCTTCTCTGCTTTGCATCGAAGCTAAAAAACCCTTAAATATTTATGAGGTATAATTTTATATTGTTTAAGTTAAGTTATTTTAAGTTTAATATTCACAAGAGTTTTATTGAAAAAAAAAACTTTTAATGTCCATTTACTTTTTAACTTTATCTACATTTGTAAGTACTACATGAGTAGTGCTGCAATTACTTTAAATAAAATTTATTTTCAAAAGATTTAAGTTCAAAATCATGTACAGGAAAATATTTTATACTTAATGGCAGACTCACAAAGATTTTAATAACTTTGAATTGAATTTTATTGTTTAAAATTTGAATAGATTCCTGCAATTGTTGAATTCCAACTTCTATAAATAAAATGATTTCATAATTTGATATTTTTTCAGAAATATTACAATGAATTTCTATATTGTCATGATGATGATGTATTTCAACAAGTAACATTAAACATGATCTATACTTACCGTCGTATGAAAAATTTTTAGAAGTTATTTTGGGACTTAAAGTAATGTATTTTTCTGTGAAAGTCTTCAAAATACAAATAGCAATAGTTAAAATATATATATATATATATTACCTTTAATACTAAAGAGCACAATTGAAACTTTTTTTTTTTTTGAAAGTACTTCAATAATTTGAAAGAAATTATAGGAAAATAAAATAAACGGTTATAAATTTCAAATATTTGTTGTAATGAATAACTACAGTAAAAATGTATAACATTATTATTATTGAGGTTCTATTTAATCCTTCTTTTTAATTAAAAATTTAAATAATCACGAATATTTAATAAAGATTAAAAAATTATGAAATGCCATATCAAGTAATTTAATCGGATTATCACATAATTAGAGTCGATGTCTCAAATTATTGTAAAACTGTTTTTTTATTGCTGCTAATACATTTCTTTATACAATTATAATTTTTCACAAATTTATGTCCCTGCTATACTATACTCTTTGTATCACTACATGACTATAAGACACATAATGTCAGTAAGAGATCCAACTCACAATATAATATTCATCTTTGGTGTGGTGTTTAAATTCACTAACGAATATCTTTATAATTACCATTTGAACTATGTATTTACGTATGAATCACAAAGATATAACAAATACAATAACTCTTGATTCAGCAATCATTTTTATGTAATTTTTATTTAACAATTTTAGAATTTTTGGTCTACGTTACATTTTTATTTATATTCCTTTAATAAGAAAAAAATTTAAACACTAATTTTTTTTTAATTTTTCCGAATTTCAAAATAGCAAATTTTTAACCTTTTTTTTTGAAAAATAAATTTGATTGATCGACAAAAACTTTAGGACAAATACTTATTGAGTTTCAAGCATTACTATACATTAAGTAGGTATGTGCACGGACTCTGCAAATGTGGGTAATCTCCGAAATGGATTGTTCTAATTGCATTATTGGAAATATATATATAAATTATGCTTTTACGTAGTCTAAAAATACAACAGTTAAAAAAATATTAGTAATAATCATTTTTGGAAAAAAAACTATGATCTTTATGATTCATACTGTACAAATTTCTATAAAAAATTCTTTTAGTCGCGTAAAAGATAAAATTTTAAACTTTATCATGATCTTTAAAAAATATAATGAAGTATAAATGTACAATGTATATATTATACATTATATGACAGCAATAACAAATTACATTGGAAAAAAAATACAAAGAATACCGTCTATGAATTTTAGAACCAAGTCAGTGATATATTATAAAAATATGTATAGTATAAAATTGTTTTTTATAGTGATTCTTTTATCATTGACCATTTAATTAATCAAAAAATAATTTCAATATTGTGCTTTTGGTTTTTTTAATTTAATATTTTTCACAATTCATTAACGCATCAAGTTGTGGGGATAAATTTAATTTTTCATAAAATTCAAATTATATTATTGTAAGATATATTTATTATTATTTTATGTGTTTAGTAGTATATATATATATTAAAATATTTGTGTATATGTGTGATCTATATGTTTGTATCTCTGAAACTAATTGGGAATCAATAATACTTTTTAAATATTTTGATACATATTTAATTAGTGAATAAAATAGAAAATAATCTAATTTAAGAAATGGTTCATCGACAACAACATTTGATTTAGTATTTCAGAAGCTATTAACAATTTAATGTATGGACTAGAAGTGAGACGAGAGTATTGTTATTTTTATCATTAGATAATTTTAGGGCTCACTCCTCCATCTTAAAATTAAAAATTAATTAATAACTTTGAATAACTTATTTAATAACAATTTAAGAACTTTTGGTTCAAATTTTATTATCGACAATTAATTTTTTATATATAGATAATTCTCTATTATTTAAGCTAATTAAATATATATGTTTCCATTAAAAATAATTAAAATACACTATTATAAAATATTATGAAAGAACCTAAAAATTATATCATAACAGATAAATATATATATGTACACGTAATTAGCAAAAGCCAAAAAAAAAGTTCTCAGAATAATCATCATTATAAAAGAACTTGATTGGCTAATTTTAAGAAAGTAATCCTATATTGACTTTATCCGTTATTAAATAAAATGTATTTTTAATGGAACAATAATGAACATTAATAATACAAATAAATAGTAAAGAAATATTCTTAAAGTTTCAATATGTGTAAATGTTACTTCAAAACTATTGACTTAATATAACAACATGTTATCGATGGTTTTAAATAATGTGTATACACATTATGTATATTGATTGATACACAATCAAATTCATGAAAAATATTTCACGATTGATAAATTAACTAAAGCACAAAACTAAAAGAAACCAAAAAAATATTGTTAATTTTATACTTATTTTTTAATAATTAAGTGGTCGACAGTAAAATAATAACCATGTATGAATATTTTAGCTACAAAATTATTTATATGTAAACAAATTACATGCGTCAACGTTTTAACATTTATAATAATAGTTGCTTACGATTTTAAGATTTATCATGATTTTTGGATTTTCAACAACTTGTTCTTTCTAAAAAAAAAAAACAATAATAATAATAATAGCAGTACTCTATTAATTCTTTACTAAAATTAAATACAAAATATATTTTTAGTATATAATTTATAATTCGTATTATTATTATTCTAGATATCTACAAGCTCAAGATATTTTCTTATAGAAAAACTATAAATAAGAAAAATTAGTACCAACCTCTTCTGACAAAATAAAAATCTACTTACTAAAAGTAAATTTTTCATTTTTTTTTTAGAGGAGGATTATTCTATACTCTTTTGCTGAGCACATTTTTGATTAAATACTTACATAATTCAAAAAAATTTCTGCAAAAACTTTTTTCTTATTTACAAAATCCTGAAATATAATTATAATGTAATTATTCTGTTTGGTTACTATTAAAAATTTTATCCTGTAGATTTCAAACTTAAAATAAACACACTATTATGTGCAAAATCATTTTACTTGTTTTGAAACACTTAATTTATCGAAAAATAATATTAATATTTTATTTATTTGCTTCTTTTAGTTTGAAATTTACATTGAAATATTTATATCTAAATGAGAGGAAGAGTAAGGACGGAATATATTTAGTTACAAATATAACAGCACCCACTCTTCACCTCCAGTTAATAAATTAAATTATTAATAACTTATAAAATACTGATTCTAAAGTAATTATCGATAAGTCATCTTCTTCGTTAGATAATTATCTATAAAATAATTAGCTAATTATGAGTATTATCATTTGAGAAATTTTTGTATACCAGCAGGTTCTGAGCCCCTACCAGTATCGCCATCACCTCTGCTTGGAATATAATAACTATAAAGTTATCAAATTGTGTACACATGAATAGGGTGAGATGAACATTTTTGTTATTTACTCCCTAGTCTTTTATTAATTAAACCGATTATAAAACTACTTAATATAACTCCTTACGATCGCTACAGGTCCACACTGCAAAACCTAAAATACAAAAAAATTGTATTTATTAATCAATGCAAAATTATATCACAACATAAGTAGTAAAAATTTAAAAACAATACATACTGTTGAAGATTTGAAACAACCAGGCATAGTAATCATTTTAGCATCATGATCCTAAAATAAAACCAATGAATGTTAACAAAACAGATTTTATATTCAAAAGAGTGTAATTCATAAGGTATAATAAATAAATCTAAAATTAAATATAATTAGCCCACATGTGATCAATTCTCATTATATTATAGTTCTATAATAGTAATAGTGATTAACTCTTACAATATTCGATTTATTTGTCAAATTTATAATATCCATCACACCTACCTATATAAAAAAAGCATATTTGAAAATTTGCAATACACATTTTGCATTATTATTTACAAAAAGCATAAAAAAATATTTAATATATTTTAAAATAAGTTCATGATTAATATGATAATATTCTTAGTTCTAAAAAAGTATTAGGTATGATATTTTACACAAAAAAATCCACATGGAAATTAAATAAAAAGCATCTTAACTATATTATTAAATTTAATTTGACTTAATAAACTTTTCAAATTACTTCACCAATTAAAACAATGCTTCCGAAAACATCACCAAAAAAAAATTCAATCACAAGAATTAAAACAAAATAATAATTTTTAAAAAACATTTCCCAAGAATATTAAGATTTAAAATATATAAATAATATTATAATATAACTGACCAACTAATATAATTAAATATATTATATATGTTATATTATATATAATATAATATATGAATTTTTATACGTATTTAAGTAAATAACATATTAAAAATAAGCAAAAATTATTTTAAACTGTATTATATCAACATATTTTTCATATTATCGATGACAAAAAAATATAATTTATGCAGTTATTATATATAATGTATAAAAATAATTGTTTTTGATATTTGCATATAAATGTATAAAATTATTCTATTATTATTTAATTTTTGACGTTGTTAGGTACAACTAAATAAAATCAAGATTCTTTGACTTATTGCTCATTAAAATCGCTTTAATGAGATCTGAGAATATTCATTGACAGACATAAAAAACCAGCACAGTGGGGTAGCGGCATAGTGGAGACGTTGCATAGTTGGGTCCAGTATAGATTTAATCTGACAGTGACCAAAATCACCATCATAAGAACCGCTTCGATGCAAATTTGTAGATAGTGTTTAATTCTAAGAAATTGGTGGATAATTACAAAAGCAACATCAACTTCTATTTCCTTAATTATATTTAGATTAGTAAATCTTTTACTTATATATTATATAAATTTTATAATTAATTGTTTTCAAATTACTATTGATTTTTAATATGTGAAAAGTAATAATTTTTAGCCTACTTTTTTGTCCTTTAAAGTGAAAGTTTATAATTAAAAAAATAAAATGAATTTATTACCATAACTTTTAGCTCAATTTGCAAGTTTGAAATTGACATCATAAAATAGAAAAAATGGTATTGTTAAGATTAATATACAACCAGGAAATTTTATAATTACTATTTACAGTAAATTATTTATTTCATCCATTGTTAAATTCAGGTGAAACTATAAATCATTTTTTTTTTTTTGATTTATGATTTATATAGCAACATTTGGAATGTTATACTAATAGTAGTACACACAAATATAGAAAAAGAATAATAAATTTCAAAGTAAAATTATACAATTTCAAATCTAATTCGACAATATACTTTTAAAATATTAGAAATGAATGATTTAAATTGTTTGTATGGATAAATCTAGTTAAGCAACTTGTTATTTGATGAAGGGATTTTTTTCTCTATTTTTGAGGGTAATATCTTCAACTAAATACGAATTGTAATCATTTTACGTATCGTTGAAAAAAGTAAGTTAAGTAAGGGTTGGAAAAATAAATCGCAGCCACAAAAAAATATCACATAGTAAAATAATATTTTCATGAATAAGAAATTTATTCTCATAATTTATTCTCATAAAAAGCAAGTGATTTGAACATTTTTTTCTAACTCAAAAAAAATGCAAAATATTAATTGACACAGGTGGATGCGAACCTCGTACCTGTATCGTGAATGACACAAGTGTTCCCGATTAGGCAACTGTTCATCGTTTCCGTTACATGATAAAATTTAAGCTAACTCAAATTCAAAAATTACTCTTACGACTTTAAAAAAGCAAAAATATTAAAATAAGTGTACTTTCTTATGTCTTATGAACTTTATTTTATGTAAAAAAAATTATATAATATTCATGAAAATCAGTACATTGCCTTTATAAGATATTTTAAAATAAAATAAAATACAAAACTCAGGATTTTAACACAAAAATAGCATATTAAATTAATTTAAGGTATGTATAAAAGTGTTAGTATTTCCGGAACACTTTCAAAATTAACTTAAAAATTTTAATTTTTTTGTGAAAAACTGGTCAGTTTTAATCCCCACTGTGGACAGGTCAAGGGTCAAATTTATAAAAAATATATATCAAATGATAAGTAAAGACATTGTGCATATATATAAAAAACAATATATTGATATAATCATTACTGAAAAAGTTATGGCAGTTTTAAGTAAAAAAATTTCGAAAATTTCGAAAATTTGCCATTTTTAAATTTGTGATTTTTTTGGAGATTTCCCCTTTTAATGGGAACGAGGGAAAATTTTTCAATTTTTAAGGGTAATGTCTTCAACTAGATACGATTTGTTATCTTTTGACGTATTGTTAAAGGAAATCGGTTCATTGAGAGCTGAGAATAAGTGGCAATAGACATAAAAAAAAAAAACATCATGGTAAAATTAATACCTTCTCAGCTTCGCATTGAAGCTAAAAACTAATAAAACCACAAAAACAATACCTTCTCAATTTGGCATTGAACCTAAAATTTCTAATACTTCTCTTTGTAAATGTTTTTTTTTCATAAATTCCAAATAGATAGTAATTAATTTCATGTAATTAGTTAAAAATTTAATAGGGAAATTTGTAATATTTATACCACTATTATTATTTTTTTTAATAAATCTTTAATATGTTTTGAATTACATATTATGCCTAATCAATAAAATTTTTTGAGAGAATTAAATGAGACGGGTATTCTTAATATAATTTCTTTATGACAATTTTAACACAAAATGATACTTATTAGTAAAAACATTTATTTTAAATATACTACACAATTTATTTAAAAATATATTGTTTTTCAGTTTATAATATTTGGTTACGCACATTTTTAAATACACTCTTTGCAGTAAATTTTGACTTGCTAAAAATTACATGAATAATTGTAATACAAACTCCAAGATCATTCTTATGATTTTTAGACTATACCCTCTTACTAAACAAAACCATTTTCATCTATTAAAACCAGTTTTTTAGATATTTTCAAAATATATATAATCTGAGTCACTGTACTCAAGATTCTTTCTTTCTAGGATTAAGTTGTTGAAAAGGGAAAATTACCCATATTAGTTTTTAAACTCTTCGTAATTCATACATATTTTTAAATTTATAATAATAATTAGTGGTTCTATAATTGTTTAATTTAAAGTAATGACTTTTGTCTTTTGGTATTCTAGGTTACGCTGCCCGAATTTCTTGTGCTACTTTTCTACATGAAAACTATTTTTTCAGTTTCTCTCATTTATCACTGTAATCTACATTCTACAGGGAAAATGGGAAAATCCTTTAAAATTCTTCATATAATATTTAATTAATATCTTGAAATAAATCATATCAAACAAGTTGTTAAATTAACAAATAAACACACCATGTTAAAATCAATTCCATTTTAGTTTCGCATTGAAACTATTATTTGTTAGTACTGCAAAATTTTATAATTTCCTAGACCACACTTTTTATTAGTAGGAATTTTATAGCAGCACTTTGTCGTAACACATAATGAAAAAGTAGACGGTGTAGATTAGTGTGAACGAAGATGATGTTGAGAAGTTGCCTGGGTATTCACGTACCCGATTACACGTGCAGTAGTTATCGCGCTCAGCTAACACTCTGAAATAGCTGTGGGTGCCGAAAGGTCGTTGTTATAGGTAGGAAATAAGGGTAACACCTAGGTTTGAGGTGCAGACGAAGCTCAAGACACAAATACTTCGAGTATAGGAAAGGATAAAGAAGAGGGGTAGTCGAGTACGAAGTGCAAGACACAAGGACTATGAAATATCGAGAACGAGAGAAAGTAGGTAAAAAGGGCAAAAACAAAGACTTGACTTTATGCAGTAAGCCGGACAACGACAGCCGAATACTGAGACTGATGAATGACACAAAGCACTTGAATCGACTAACCACGATGGCCAGGTCCTGTGGGTTTAAATAGTAATGTAGACGATAGTTAATTTGGCAATAAATATTAATCTTCAATTCAT